TCGGTGATCAATCAGCAGCCTGACAGTTTTGGGGATAAGCATTAAAGGCATAGAGGAGCTAAAATAGTGTTCAACAAAGGATTAAACCAAAACTACAATAGTTTTCAACATGTAGTTGAACATTAGCTTCAATGGAAACCAAGAAAGGCAAATGTATAACACTGACGAGAACAAGACAAGTCCATTGGTCCATTCCTAATGTTAGGGTGCAATATATCCAAGGTGGGAAAGCAGAATCCAGCTGAAGTAGTCCAAATAATGACATAAGTCACAACAAGATTCTTACCACTTCCTGGTGAAGCTTACTGTTCTGTTGCAAAGCAGAATTCTTCTCCTCGGTCAACCTTGATATCAAAGCCATAGCCTGGAATTGAAATTGAAAAGACAAAAAAAAGATAACGCTTTCACAATTTTATACAACCAAGAAGCGACTTTACAGGTACGGAATGCTTCCATCTACTGACACAATAAAATGCATCAAACAATTATGGGTCATTCAGCTGGTTTCTGACGTAACCTTGCGGACAGAAGTAAACTAAGGGCGTAAGAGATGATAACAGTAAACAGAATTTTGTTGTCTCTAGCAAGAGCCAACCTAAGTTTAACTGCAGCAGAAGATGCTACAATGACATTCTGTTGTATAACTGCAGCAGAAAACTGAGGAGAAAAGTAGTACACAGAAGAGGATAACATACTAGAAAGAGCCAGATTAACACAAGCTTTCTTCAGTACAAACTGACAATTTGACATGCCCCTTAATACGTACACAAATAAACCTACAATTAGAACCAATTACAGATCTGATTATATGATTGATGTCCAGATTTAAGAAACAACAAAAAGACCTGCTGCGATAAGAGTTTTAGCAGGCTCTAGGTGGTATATGCTAAAGAAAGCAACCAAAGGAACAAGAGTCCTAGGTTTGGGGCTGAAACTAGAGAAAAGAGAATGAGGATATACTATGGGTAAAGATAAAAGAGAGAATTGATGATGAAGAGGGTGGTGACAAATAAAAAATATATATAATGCCAAATTTTTTTTATTGTAGATGGTCACTGTTCAACACAACGTCAGTAACTCATGAACTAGCCTTAATCCCAGCTAAAGGAGGATTTACATCCTTGAAGACAGCAAAAATTGACATAGAAACATCAAAATGTGTTTTTAATCAAGCAACTCTGCATATGCCAAAAATACAAGGTTTGGTCCTTCTATAGATGGAAAAATAAGTGATTACAAACATACTTCAAAATGTCTGAAATTTTTTGAAAGAACACTATGAGGACACTGACGAGTTTATTATTGCACCTAATTTTAGACAAATCTAAAACCAAATTACTTTAGAACTGAAATTTGCATTATTTTATTGATTTTATTAAATATTTAATTTGTTCTCCTTGTCCGAAATAGGATCATAGTTAAAACCAACCATTTGGCTAAGCACCCTAGATTGTCATAGATTCTAAACTTTATTCTCGCTACTATAATGTGTTTGGACTGTTTTCAAAAAGTTATTAACAGTCACTTTCGGTCTTCAAGAGATTAAAAAAAACCACTTCCAGCCACCACTTACGAAGCTCGAAGCTTCCTTTAATTTCACACCATCACAGTTTTATGGTTCTGATAGCTACAAAATCCAAGTCTATCAGTTGTCAATCCCACACTTGATGCTATCTTATGCTTCTAACCTACATGTGTGTTATTTCAGCAGTAGTTGATTTCATGTATCATCACTTGGGATCACTAAACTCATTTAGGACAAATATAGGGTTGTCTTGATCGAATCACACTAATCAAATCTGTTAACATCATTATGAGGTCAACGATGGTTAACTCATTTAATAACACACCCATGAAAATCTGACAATTTTATGATCAATTGTTAAATGTATGTTCAACCTCTGAAGTGCCACAAAATCCTTAAACAATGCAAACTAATTAAGAGTAGAAGCCATGAAGATTGGAAGTCTAGATGGTGTGTGAAAAGTATACCTTCTGGTAGCAATTTAAACACATCCAACCAAAGAAAATTTCCAATATTCTGATCAATGCAGAAAATAATTGAATGTGACAACATTCTATGAATGGAAGGCTGTCTCAGAGTTGGAGATTTCAGAGAACTCGTAGAAACACATGTGCATGTGAGCATGCACACACACACACACATACAGATATATGTATATACATATAAAATACATATACATGTACATATAGATACATATATACTATGTTTGTGTGTGTGTGTGTTTATATATATGTATGTATATATATATATATGTATGTATATATATATATATGTATGTATATATATATATACATATACATATATATACATATACATATATATACATATACATATACATATACACATATATATACATATATATATACACATATATATATCCTGATAATAGCATCAATGGTTTTTAGTTAAACTAAGTCCACATGCTAAAAGGAGCAACTGCCAATATAGCAAGTTTATATGCATGTGGCTTGCAGAAAGGAAATGCCACATGTATTTAAGCTTCCATGGAATGACAGGAAGATGAACAAAACGGGAAGGAGATACAAATACTAGAAACTAAAGAAAAACGAGCTACTCATTTTCAAACAGAAAGAAAAAGAGGGAAATTTTGCAGGCTGCAAGTTACGCTGAAGTTTGTCAGCACTTATGATTTCCTAGTTCTAGAGGATTCAACAGCTGATGGGAATTTTCAGATAAATTGTGATCAATTAAAGCATTAAATCCTCGACACTAACCTTTTCTTCGGGCTCTTTTTGTTGTTGCCCTGATGCCTACTCGGATGCGAGTAATCAAGTTAATAAACCCCTTCGATCCCTTCCAGGGCCCCCCTCCCCACCCCCCCCCACCCAAAAAAAACCTCACTGTAGCATATTATATTAAAATCATGCTAACCTTGTCCGAACTGAAGGGGCCAGGTGAAGCGCCTCCGTCCTCAGATTGCTCATAAACATTAGAAGGTGGCTGAGGTGACGAAACATACGCAACTTGTATCTTGACCTCATCCACTGTTTTGCCTGGCTCCTTTGAGAACTGAAAAATATAGCAAAAAAGGTAGATAGTTAGCATCTACATCGAGCACAGAAGACCACAATTCGTCGTTTGTATGGAACCAATACGAGAAAGATTAAGAGGCGGCACCATCTCTTGGGTTATGTCGTTCAAAGTAGTGGTGGAGCTCGTGGCAATACTCTGAAGCAGAAATTTATCCTTGCACTGCATATCTGAAGGAGCCTCCCGCTGCGCTTGCATCGTAACTGGATCAAAATCAGAAATCGAATCACCTAACAGAAAGGAAAAATGGAAATTTTCTTCCCGAGAAAGAAAGGAGATTTAGCAAAACTGGACGAGAACAAAGTACCAACGACATCGCATGTGGATCGAGGCAAAATGATCCCAACATTGGGCCGAACACAGTACTTCCTCGGATTCGTCGTCTTGACCTAAACCAAGAAGAGAAAATAAAACATCTACTAAATATGAGCTCTTTCCTCAATTCCTGCCGGATCCAATCAAAACTTCAAGAGAAACACGAAATTCACACGGTCAACACCTTGAAAGCGAGAAAGTCCTCCGTCTTGTTCGATAGCTGCAGCGAGCAGGAGATCTGCTTATTCAATTCGACTTCCCGAATCGCAGAAACCGCCCGGAAAACGAATAAAACACCACAATTTCATCATCAAACGGAAACCCTCGGGCGGCAGATATCAAAATAGGCGTGGGGAAGAAGCAATCGAAACGAACGGAGGGGAGGAAAAGGGGAAACTTACAAGGGAATTTGAGCTCGAGGGGCTCGACGTCCAGGAGATCGCCGGAACCCATCACGGGATCGATGGATCGATCGACGCCCTTGGCTTCGTCGCCCGCAGGTAGAGAGAAAGAGAGAGAGAGACACACACACAGAAGAATCGCCAAATCCCTTACTCGGGATGGGAGGAGGGAATTGCATTCGTAAGTCCAACTTTATACGGATGTTGGGTTGACGGGAAGGAAACGGGGAAACGCATCCAGAAAATTCTCACCGGAAAATGTCAATGCACAAACAACAGAAATAATAGAAAACTCTTATAATATTTTTTTATGTTAATATTTGATTTATTATATATCATTAGTACTACAGTTGGGTATTATTCGAGCTTCCATAACTGAAGGGGCACTCTTTTGTTTCGTTTGATCTGATCACTGTGAAGCATAAAGAGTTCTCGGATTTGTGCGAGAGAATCGGGTATGAGAACGGTTTGCACACACCGTCGGCGAGGTGGTGGGGAGGCAGGCCAATCGATTCCCGGCCCAATTTAGAGATGGGCCGGATGGGGCCTGTATTCGTCTGGGCCTCGGCAATGACAATTTCCTGTTCCGCCGAGAGAGATGATGAGCGATGTTAGAACTGCCATGCCCTGTGCAGCCACAGCAACACAACGAATCGAAAGCAGGAAGCTCGGCAGAAAGCCAGATGGTGCCAGCTTTTTGCTGCTGCATCGTGGGGTCACACTGCAATAACAAGGCCAACTTGGCCAGCATCAACAGAGGTCCTTTTGAACGCTTCTTCCATGACGCCGAGATGCTCTCTCTCCTGCTTCGCATGCCCCCACGCACCATAAATAATGAGCCATCAGTGACTGTGGTACGGTGGGGTTCCGGGAATCCCAGCTTTTGTTCCTTTTAACCTCCGGATCGAATCCCCAAGATGATAATGCTATTTTACTTGCGATGAAGTGATAGCTCGTAAATGGGACGCAACCCCACCGCAGTGGCTCGTCCTTCTTCGCCCAGGACTCCCACTTTTGTCAGATCGACCTCGCTCGCTGCAGTTGTTGTTTTCTTCGCTGCAAACGAGACGGCTGCTGTCTTGCATTGAAGTCCGTCGACAGCCGCAGACTCGGATTCAGATGAACTTTGTTTCCGGGAACTGATCGCCAATCAGAGCGTACAATAAGACAGTCAAAAAGGTGTTTTTGCTTTGAACGGGTGAAGTCTGTGAAGTGAATAGAAGAATGTCTACTGATATTAAACAATCGACGCACATTAGAACTTAATGTTGTGAGCAATGGGATAAATCTTAGCTCGATCAGTGGCGAGATAATTCTGAGAGTGTCTCTTCCACCAACTCCTCCAACAGCTTCCCACCAATTTCCTTGCTGAATTCGCACACCTCCAACCAGCTCGATTCGGCCCATTGCCTGCCCGCCACCTCCTTCCTCACCAACCTCTCCACCGCTGCGCTGGCGGATTCCGTCGGTACACGCTTCTCACTCGACAACACATTCCTCACGAACGCCCACACTTGGTCGGCCGCGGAACCCCCCACTTTGTCATTCTTCCGAGCATCATGGCGCGGTCCGTTCCACGGATACGCAGCGCGTAGTGCGGCTTGGCTGAGATCGAGCAGTGCTGCGTTCACGGCGTCGAAGAGGAGCCTGCGGCCCGATCGCCTCTCCCTGCACTTCCCTTCCTCCTCGTCCACGTGCAGATACTCGTACAGTAACAACGGATTCAAAGGGCTGTCGATCGAATGCCATCCGCCGAACACCACGCTCTCCCTGCTGTCCATTCCAGCAGATGCCATCAGCTCGTGGACAAAGACAAGTTGCTCATGTTCTCTCTCCGCCTCGGAGAACATCATGCAGGAGTTGAAGGGCTTTGCCGATGCTGCATCCGAGCAGGAGGTGCTCCGTGACAAGGAACGAACGACCGACTCGATGGGTGGAGATCGAGAGAGCGCCTCTGAAGAGATAGATGAAGGACAAAGTGGTTACTCGAGAGAATCTGTCAATGTACGGGCAGGAGAAGATAGACGACACTTACGTGGACGTTCAGCCATGTTATTTCCGGGTGACTGAGACAAACCATCTGCTAATGGTGCTTCGAAGACTGGAATTTGGCTGTACCGATCTTGATTCTGAGTGAGGGTTCCATGTATCGCAGGTTTCTGGAGAGAATGAGCAGCCTGCAGATTATGTACAAACCAATTCCACGAGTGAAAGGAAAGGATTAATCTTATCTAATCTTCAAGCTTAAGCTGTTTAAATAAGAATGAGAAGAGATGATCAATTCGTGGCTACTGATTCCCACATTGTAAGCAATACAGCAGTGTAGAACTACGAAGTAAGGAAGAGGCAAATGTGTTGTTACCTCGAGAGATGGTGTCACCTTTGTAGATCCTTGAGGCATTTTATCAGGGCTACCTAGCTTGGGCTGCGAGAGATCATCATCGACGGACCGTGACAAATCATCATTTGTTTTACCACCTAGATCGGAACTGATGGATCGTAGTCTATCATCAGACACTGGGAGAGATCGGGCAGGCTTCTCTCCGCATGGTTTCTTGCTCCTGGAGAAGAAAAAACCAGAGACCTTATCCCTGAAAGATGACCTCCCACGTGACTTGGGAACCTCTGTCTGATCAATGGGTTTGCCGAACGAGGAACTTGAGATCTCCGTATTCGACTCATCAAATTCACAAGCTGAAGAAGAATTTGGGGCAGACTTTGATCTCGTTAAGTTCCTGCAGGAACTCTCCACAGGATGTTCATCCTTTGTTGTTCCAGATGTACACTCGAATGCAGCGGGCACTTTCGGATCATCGTCTCCGGTAAATAACTTGCTATCAAGAAGCGAAATCTCCTCTTTGCTTCCTTCCTTCTTTAACTCGGGAATGGAAAGCATCTCTCCTAAGGTGCTTAAGGTCCTCTGTAATTGGAATCGATCTTGACTATTTTCATTCGATGCGACAGAAGCCCACCTCTCCGACATCCGTTTCTTAGCTTCTGTAATAACTGATGATTCAGGAGAATGAGATGCTCGAGTAAGAGATGAGGCTGAGAAAGGACTACCAATCTTATTGGTGCAATCCCAAGAATAGTCCGTCGCCGGGGTTGCAATCTCAGAGCCGCTTAGACAGCCAACCTCATCTTCCATGAACTCACTTGCCGACCTATGGGATGAGCTCTCGTCCCCGATATATCCGTTTGACAGTACCGATGACAACAAGGCTTCGTCCCTGTTGCTACTCAGGCTTTCCCGCATCTGACGAGTGATCTCCTTGGCTACTTCTCTAGAGCCTACCAATTCATCAGTCACCAGAGCTCCGCTAGAAACTCCCCCATCCGTGAATCTGGTGTTTGTGTCGTCAAACTTTCCAGGGCTAGGCTTTAAGACGACTATCCTCGTTGGTTGAGGTTTATGAACGTTTGGCTCGGAGAAACCAGAGCTCCAATGGTGCTTATTAGCTCTTCCTACACTTTCACCAGAATCTGCAAGCAACTCTCGCCCCATGCTTCTGTCACTTCTTTCCTCCATGGCAGTCGAAGGTTTCAGCACAGTTATACGTGTTCTCTGAGGAGAAGGAAGAGAGATGCTCTGGAGATCAAAGAGACGTTGTTTCGTGAACAGCGAGTTTGGCTCATCCAGAAATTGAAGAAATAGATCTCTATTTGAATTCAGAACCTCAACTGCATCTTGGAACTCCTTCGAATCAAGAAGCTTTTCGTCGGTGGCCAAGCGTTTTGCTTCGGTGAACTTCTGCCGAACAAGGTCCATCCTCTTCTGATACGAGTTCTCATCATGCCTCGCCTTCACCGGAGATTGATCTTTGACCCAAACATTCTTTGATGGTTGTTGCTGTATCTCATAAACATCTCTGTAATCCTTCTTTTCATGAGCGAAAGATCGACTCTCATACGCCATGGAATGGTCAACAAAGTCATCTTTCAGGTGTCGAAGTTCTCCCGTTGAACTATCACGCAAACCGCCCTTGCTTCTGATTTTTCTACTGGTTGCGACTGATCGCTGCACCGGGAAGGATTCAAGCCCCATTAATCTTGCAACAACACTCGGTGGCTTCTGTCTCGGCTCTGCATCGCCCTGCATCTCCTGGGATAATAGCATCTTAATCGGGGTTCGGCCTGAGTTCTTGTTCGAGGAACCGCTCCTTTGTTCATTTACTATCAGCTGCGAAACACAAATCAGACTGAAGAATCACAAAAAAGAATATTTCTTGAATTCGTCTGAATAGATTTCCCGAGAATGCTTACTTGTTTGTCCTGCGTCTCGGCTACAGCAGGATATATTGGCTTCTTAACCGCATCAGAACAATTCCTACCAACTGCAGATCCAAGAGCAGCTGGAATATGGAATAGGTATACTCGATCAGCATCATCAAAGAACAAATCAAATATTTGATGAGCTCGATTCGTAAGCAATCATCAAGGAAAGGAAATAGTTCAGAGGAACAAAATCTGCAACAAAAGAGCGCAGAAGCATGATATGATGGCACCAACACCTGAAAGAATCGAGCACACCGATGGTTGTTTGGATATGTTGATGGGATGACCAAGAACAACCGAACAAGCTAGAAAAGAAATTATTGTTTAGGATGAAGAAGCAAGAAAAATTACCATCCATGTGTGGTTTCTCGGTGAGAAGTTTGGTTTTGGTCATGCCGGCAGTCAAGTCAAATAAGCCAATCATCCTACCCATACAACCTGGAAGAGAATCCGGCAGATCCATCTCTTTCCTGCTCCGGAAATCATTCAACGAGTAGCCTGAGAAGGAAACAGGGATGACATAATTAGGGTCTTCAAACTATCCTCATCATAGAGCTAAAATCCAAGAACTTAAGATCACCAACCAAGGCCGAGGCCACAGAGAACAACATCATGTCACAGGCGTGAGAAAGACTCCTCTCCGGACTATGAGAAGGAAGCAAGAATCAGCATAAATGGAAGGGGGAGAGATGGCAGCAGGCATTCAACGCCAATGCAGCATTATACAGCAAAGATTTTGCATTTATGACCGAAGATTCCAACATTGAATCACGAGTACAACACCATAAAGGAAAAAAAACCTCGAATTTTAACTCGAAAAATGAGCACCACAACTTTGCAAGCAGATTCCCTTAAAAGCTGTCTCCGGATACAGATTTCAAGAAAAAGCAGAAGGTGGGAGCAGACTAGCAATAGATGCCATGTTCGATCTATGGAACCAAAAATCGAAAGAAAAGGAAGCAAACATAAAGTCGAGCGGTAAATGCGAAAAAAAAGTAGACGTGAAGCAAAGAGAAGAGCACATGGTGGAAGGAAACAAAAACAAAAAGAACACATCAAGAAGAGGGAGGAAAGAACACTACACATGTTGGATCTTCACAGTAAAAGGTGGCATTTCCTGAGAAAGAAAAAGGGGGAAGAAGTCACTTCAGCAAAGTCATTGTGGATGGAACCTTAATTGCAGGAGAATTTCCAGTGGAGAACAGAAGAAGCTGACCCCAGATTGGGCTGAGCGCTAAAAAAAGGCTCCGATCTTTAGACGAAACCAAACCATGGCAGGCGTATTAGGTGGAAATCAAAGCAAAAAAGAATCATCAGAAATCCAATTCGTTCCACAAGGCACATCAATCAATCAATCAACCAAACTATTACGGAACAGTGGCGACGCAAAGGACACGAGGAGATTCACAAAAAAAAAACTCCAACTTTGAGCTGAGGAAACAAAATCCAACGCCAAAATCCACCTCGGAGAGCTGCACTCCACCACGGACCGCGATCAACCGAGCTCCAAGGATCGAGATCGGGGTCCGAAAGGGATGGAAGAGTGCGAAAAAGCGAGTACGGAGTACATCAGCGGAATCCAACCCGAGAAAAGGGAGAATAAAGATGGGGAAAAGGTTAAGTGAGCTGATCTCAGAGGCCCACGACTAACCACACTACCGTCCTCCTCCTTCGTCGTAAGCTCCGGCCTTGCTCTGTCCCGCCGGACGCCCGACCCCGACGTTTGCGCCTCCTTCCCACCGCCTCGCTGTGCTCGCACGACTTCGCTTGTACACGGTTCCCAGTACCACTCTCAACTGTTGTGTAGACAGCGAAAGACGTGTTTGTGTGAGAGAGGCTGCGAGGAATACCGATGCGAGGGCAAATTAATTATTACTTTTGGATTTATACTCTGGTCTCGATTGAGACCGGTGCACAGTAAACTAATAATATATATATATATATATATATATATATATTTATATATATATATATGTATATACTTTTGTTCTTTTCCATCACACGTAATGATATGAGATCTGGTTATTTACCTAAATTAACTCCATGCATGTATGATCGGTATATATTTGGCAATATACATGTATATTAAATGGTGGTATACACATCAATGCAAGTCTTTGTGATAATTGGGGTTAAAAGCTCCAGAGAACGATGTATTTGCAGAATAAAGGATTAGTGATTTGAACGGAAGTGTAATTGCATGCATTTATATGTGTGTGCGGAAAACATTACGTTGAATGAACAACAATGGCATGTATGGGAGAGGGGGTTTGAATTCTCGATCTGAGGTTTGATGTATTCTTTGGTATTTTTTCCCAGTAAGTGTTTGTTCTAAATGGTTTAATGCACATTTTAATTAAAGCTGAAAATAGCAAATGGGACTTCTTTGAGAAATCCTTTTTTGGAAAATAATAAAATATCATATGCAATTAATCTTTTTTTTTTTGTGTGATATGATTTAAGTAGGCAGATCAAATATGCTATAATTGTTGAAGAGAATAAAAGAATAGAAGATAAGATGAATTATTGAAAAAGCTTTAGCTTGAATACATTAACATGTCCTCTCCTATTTATATAGATTAAGAGAGAGGACTTTTCTCAACAGAATAAAGGAGGGGGATTAATGGACATCAAAATTCCTCATGGCATTAATGACTTGCTATGAAGATATGGAATCTACTTGCCAAAAATAAAAATACTGTATACCCATCAATCTATGTTACTAACTCAATTCAAAAATTCATATTCATTAGGTTATGTGTCAAATCTATTATATATTGTTAGATTATTTTCATCCATATAGATGTTGGACTATTCTCTTAATTTTATTTTTATTTTTAATATTTATTATATATTTTAATAATTCTAAAAAAGATTTATTAAAAATTGAGAATTTATCAGACTTACTTATCAAAAGCTAAGGATTTAAAACATCTTAAACATTAGTTAATGGTGATATACCAAATTGAACTACGAAACATTGAAGGTTGAAAACATCAACTAATATTTCTTACACCTTAAATATTGATTTGATGATAATATAGTAGATCCATTTATGAAAACTCGTTTGATATATTTCGGTCTTATAGTGATGGGTTCAAAATCTTATCCAATAAAATATTAGAGATATCAGTTAATTTAGTGGATAAAATTTTAATAATATATCGTAAAATTCTCGATACAAATATTATCCTATAAAGGGATATATATATATATATATATATATATATATATATATATATATATATATATATATATATATATATATATATATATATATATATATATATATATATATGATAGCGATGGAGTAGATTTGATTGGATCATTTATATAACTTTAACCACTGTGTTTGTGATCGAATCGTACATTGAAATTGTGATTATAAGCAGACGAGGTGAGTGAGATTTCATCACCAACATTAGGTAAATCCAACGAAGAGAGGAATCGAAAGGCTTTCATCTGTACTTGCTTCTCGGTCTAACTCTGAGATCTAACACGGTGAAGGCAGTCAGCATGGGAAACACAGGGCGTAATCACGAGGAAAGCAAGTGTTGGGTCTCAAGTATTTTTTTTTTGGGTAGGGACAGTAACACGTGAAGAGTTCTTGAAGCTGCACGGAGCACTGATTCATCACACGCGAAAGATTCAAGTAATTAACTATCTGTTGTCCTGCTTCAATCTCCATGATGAGAGTTGGGGCCTTCTGCAGCAGGAGTAGCTGTTGGAGCGAGGAGCGAGGTTGACGACGACGACGACGGAATCTTGATTCCGGTCCACTTGATTAGCTGTTGATGAGAGAATGATTGCTGTAGCAGCCTTACCAGCCGCCAGATATTGTACTAATTAATGTAGAGCTGAAGGTGTACAGCCGTACTTATAGCTGCATTATACTCCACCGTGAATTCATTTCACTAATAAGACAGCTTTAATGATTGACCAACCTCTCTCTCTCTCTCTTCCTATGGGTCGATCGATTGCAGATAAGAAAAACTTATGTTACTCACGACTGCGACAGCATCAGAAACTGATGATAATGGGAGAACGATATGATTTACGCCTCCCTTCTTAAGTGACTAGTGTTTTCGTTATGGGAAACTTAATGCTCTATAGTAGATAACATACTATCATCCCCGATGAGCTGACTCTGGTGTCTCGGGCACTTGCGAGAAAATGGGCACCTTATGATCACATCATAAGGTATATTTTTTATACTTAGTATCATAATTTTTATACTTAAAAAATTTATATTAAGATTCATTTAATTTTTAACATAAAATAAATAATCTCATTTATCCTAACATAAAAATAATAATAACATGTGACACCTACATCTATCTATCGATATGAAAGTGATAACACGTGATAAAAAAATAATTTTAACATTTCTTTTATTTCTAACATAGAAGGTGTTAAAATTACTTTTTATCGATAAAATTATTAAAAATAAAAAAAAATTATATTTTTACTCATCATTTTCAACATGATGTCTGGTGTTATGTTTTTCATCAATTCAACATTAGTCCATGATAATGTGATAAGACCAGGTAGACAACCTTTTGCATATGTGTTTTGAGTTCATGAGTGAGTCATATTATTTAGTCGGATTCACGTGTCGCAGCATCGAGTAAAATAGTGCCCGACTGAACCTCAAAGTATGATCATCAGAATTTACAGAAAAGAATTACAGGTACACTGAGAATCGCAACAGTTGCTGCAGCTAAAGGACTCAAATAGGCATCTCCAACGTCTTCAGTCTTTTACAAGGGAGAGAGGCTTTACACGAATCTTATGATGTATCCGCAAATCTTAAGCAGGCGGCACACTCTCAGATCGAATACCCTATTCTAAAATCATGTCTTGAAACATTATTCTTTTGACCCAAAAATTATGGAGAAAAGAATACATGCACAAACTGAAACTTGACCGTCATCCCTCTGTCAGATCTAAAATGACACAAATGCCTGCAAATTATGGAAAACAAAAGCCTTCCATCATTAACTAATTATGTAAAAGATGGAACAAGAAATATATTAGGAGGGATTTCAAGTACCTGAGCCTGCAGCAACTCCGCTTTCGATCGAGCAAACGGAAGGGGAAATAGGAAGGAGTATTCACCTGCGGCACTAGAAAACTAGCCATGCATTGATGTAATGTGCATTCACAAAGAAAAGCAACAAGAAACAAGGAGCCATCTGCAAAAAACTTATGCTCCGAAAAGAAAAGCATGTATCTCTGTCCAGCTTGATGCTGTGTAGAGAACCCCGGACAACCCATTCCAGACAAGGGAGTCCTCCGATGGAACCTCCCTTTGTTTCCTTATCAAACCTGGATACAGTGGAACAAAGGATACACCAAATTGCTCCCCAACTCTCCTCAAGCTTATGCTCGATCCAATCACAATACCGACATCTGCTTCCAGCAAGCACAGCAAATCACCCACCGAATCCCCAATGTAGACAGACAAATGTTTCTTTTCGCTGCTAAGGTTAGTTAAGATGCTTCTGAATGTCTTAACCTTGTCCATGGGAGACTCCATTGTTCTGACAATTTCACCCGTTGAAACCGATTCCTCGTAGTCGAATTCATTCGAGTGTATGCTCAAATCATCTGTACAACCTACTGAACAAACCAAGGATAGCTTCAGATGGCTAGCTTTGCCACAGCATCATGGAGCAAAAATAATCATCAGCGAAAGCTTTTTGCAGCAGAGCAACCTCGTACAAAATGATTAGCTCAATCACACAGTCAATTTCAGATGACTTTGCCACAGCATCATGGAGAAAAATTACCATTATAGCATTATCATCACCTAACACCCTTGAGTTCAATCGTGTCAACAATTTGTCACTGGTAAAAGTCCTAGAGGGATCACCAAGGAATTTTCATGCTACAGTTTTCTAATCATTGAGGAGGGGAGAGTAACCCTATAAAATGTTCCATGTTTCTGAAAATTCTTTGCTTGACTCGTCTGAAACTACAAGTCTCAAACAATATAAACTATAGCTAAAGCATAAGGTGATCATAGTCGGGGGTCATAATTACAACCTATATGCCAGAAGCCATAGCGCACACAAAGAGACACTTAAGCCCACAGAAAAGATACAATATATAGTATATTTTTACAAATTTTGATACAGTCTATTAAAAAAGGTTAGGCGAAGATTTTAACTCCTTCCTTAGGAAAGAATTAAGAAAAAAAACAGATAAAATGATCATCAACAGCACCGAAATTAAGAATTTAGTCAATCTATGATCCTTACAAAAAACATGAAAGATCATAATTATTAAACTATAAAGTTGTGACATTCACATTACTTCTTATCTGAAAGCATTAAATCAAGGACAAAAAAGATCAAGAAGCAAATTTTAACAAGTGGTTCACAGAAATCACAAGGGAAACACAAGGAAAAGAATTTACCCGAGGAAAAGGCTGATCTTATGAGGTCTGCACACCAACAGTATGATAGTATATGGCAATCTACATTCAGTTTTTCTTTTATCTTTATAACCTTCTGGAAAAATTCTCTACAGCCATCCTGGAGAACCAAACGCTCCCCGGCCTTTTTTATGTCTTCTAGATGTATTCCCTTTAGCAACCCTGACTCAATAACCCTACAATTTGTTCG